ACCTTGGCCTCCCCAAGTGCTGGGATTACAGGCATGAGCCACTGCACCTGGTGAGCAATTGCATTTTTATAATGTCATGGTTAATAAAGAACATGATGGCCAGGTGTGGTGGCTCATGCCTGTAATCCCAGCACTTTGGGAGGCTGAGGTGGGCAGATCACAAGTTCAGGAGTTTGAGACCAGTCTGGCCAACATGGTGAAACCCCATCTCTACTAAAAATACAAAAATTAGCTGGGCATGGTGGCGGGTGCCTGTAATCCCAGCTACTAGGGAGGCTGAGGCAGAAGAATTGCTTGAACCCAGGAGGCAGAAGTTGCATTGAGCAGACATTGTGCCATTGCACTCCAGCCTGGGCAACAGAGCAAGACTCTGTCTCAATAAAATAAAATAAAATGAAATAAATAAAATAAAATAAAGTAACATGAGATGTGGAGTCAAACAGATGTAGGTTTGAATTTTAGCTTTACCACTTACTGTTTGGTCATGGAACCAAAGGAATATTAAACTTTCTGAACCTCCCTTTTCATATCCTCATCTGGGGATAAGACCATTTTTCTTGCACAGTTGTAGGGAGAATGAGGCGGTAATGTATGCCTGTAACCCACTGTTTATGGTGAGAGGCCAAAAATGGCAGCTCGCTTTCTTCTTACCTTGGTAGATTTCTTTAATCCTGGCATAATCTGTCTTCATATTCTTTTAGTTTCTAAAACTGGCCAAGCTTATCCTGGCTTTACAGCCTTGGCGAACGTTATATGTCATTCTCTTAAACCCTAGAGAGCTTCTATTCTGTTTGCTTAATTGTATCTTCTCTTACCAATCCTCAAGTCTAAGTTTAAACATCACTTTTCCGAAGGGGCCCATTGTGTCCCTCCGGTGTCAGCTATAGCTCCCACCCCTCTCACCACGCTTGGCTTTCATAGGATTGCCATGTTAGCTTACTGAGAGAGGTTACTTCTTTTTCTCCCCTATTGGCCTGTAAGCTTCAGGAAAGCAGGGCCCATTGTGTCCCCACTGACTAGTACAGTGACTGACTGCCACATAGTTGGCATCCTAATATTTGTTGGACACATGGTTTTTTTTTTTTTTTTTTTCTTTTTTTTTTTTTCTTTTGAGACAGAGTCTCGCTCTGTCACTGGGGCTGGAGTGCAGTGGCATAATCTTGGCTCACTGCAAACTCTGCCTCCTGGGTTCAAGTGATTCTCCTGCCTCAGCCTTCCGAGTAGCTGGGATTACAGGTGCATGCCACTGCGCCAGCCTAATTTTTGTATTTTTAGTAGAGATGGGGTTTCACCATGTTGGCCAGGCTGGTCTTGAACTCCTGACCTCAAGTGATCCACCCACCTTGGCCTCCCAAAGTGCTGGAATTACAGGCATGAGCCACCACACCTAGGTATAGTATATTTAATGATCCTGGTTCCCTCCAAATCATTAGGAGAAGTCAAAACATATTTCCAGATGCCCCACAGGGTGTGGTACAGTCCCAGTTGAAAAATCATGGATCTTTTAAACCTTAGGTACTTCACATGAATGTTATAACCATTCAAGAAGAGAAAATTACATGAAACTCGGAAGCTAGGTGAACTCCCATCCCCCTCCTAGTCCCAGCATACTATTCTTGCCAAGGCTTCTGATATTCAAAAGCAAAAGGAAATAGAATGTGTTTGTGCCTGTTTTAATGTTAAGAAGAGCAATCAGTTAAGTATTGCCAAAATGGATCTTTCGCATACTTCCTATTTTCTTTTGCAGAGGTGACAGATTCTCCCTGAATCATCAAAGGCAGAAAAGGATGAAAGTGGTGTAAAGACACTCTGATGGTGGGCTCAGATTCCAATCTGAGATTAATCTCAGATGCACTCCTTCCAAAGAGAATCCAGGTGAAGCCCACAGGTCCATACATCTGATAGGGCTGAATTTTGAAAGGGCTTCTCAAGGGCATTGGAGAAGAGCATTTCATAATTCACATTATCACACTGCCCCTGAACAATTCAAAATGGGGAAGGATCAATAGATACTTACAGTGCCACTGATCAATACTTAGTTTATTATGGTTATCTGTGATTTTAACAAGTATATTCACGAGTATAAGACATTTTATTGACTACAAAACAATTTAAGAAATGTACTTGATCCACTAGAAATAAATACTGTACTTGATCCACTAGCAATCAATAATTCAGCCCAGTGGACAACACCTGAGACTGGGTAGTTTCCTAGGTAAGGGTTATTTTGACCTATGCTTGGACTGACTTAGCCCTTCTACCACTAGTAAATGAAAGAAAATTATGACTGTTATCTTTAAGAAGTAACAATGAGCAAGAAGAACTGGGCTTAGCATGTATTCATTCGATTTTCATTAATCCATTTAAAAAGTTATGTTGACTACTTTCACTCTTCCTATGGAGAAGTTGTTCCTGGATAGCATTCATGGAATGAGGAATTCATAGTTTAGTATTTGGAGTTTGCCAACTCAGGATTTACTTCCTGCTTTTCTCCTAATAGTGGTAAATTACATGACCTTTCTAATTCTCAGATTCTTTCTCTGTAAAATGGAGATTAGCTAGCACTATATACCCCATTAGGCTGTTGTGGGGATTAAATGAGAAAATACATATAAAGCACTTTTAAACACCAGCCTGGAGTACATTGAACTAGAATTCAACAAATACCAACTTGTTTTTGCAGCAGGACATACTTTCTTTTTTCTACTCCAAAGTGGCACAAGGATGGGGGTGGAAGGCATGGAGAGTAGTAGAAAAGACCCAGGGAGGTCCAGAGGAGGGGCACATGAAAAGACAGAAACAGGGCATGGTGGCTCACACATGTAATCCCAGCACTCTGGGAGTCTGAGGAGGGCAGATCAGTTGAGGTCAGGAGTTCAACACCAGCATGGCCAACATGGTGAAAACTCATCTCTACTAAAAATACAAAAGTTAGCCATGTATGGTGGTGCACACCTGCAATCTCAGCTACTTAGGAGGCTGAGGCAGGAGAATTGCTTGAACCCGGGAGGCAGAGGTTGTAGTGAGCTGAGAGCATGCCACTGCACTCCAGCCTTTGCCACAGAGCAAGACTCCATCTTAAAAAAAAAAAAAAAAGAAGAAGAACAGGAAGAAAAGAAAAGAGAGAAACAGGACATAAGAGGCTCACTAAACTTTTGAGCTGAAAAAGGAGTTAAGTTTTTCATTACCTTCTGGGCTTTGTGTACATGTCAAAAGATTTTCTCTTTGGAAATGGACTGTGTCTCCATGCCCTGTGAGATAACAGAGGACAACTATTGGCTTGTCTTGACAAGCATGGATGAAGCACCTCCCTTGACATAACACCAAGTCAGTGCTTAGTAAAGGGTGGTCTGTTACGTGGGGCAAGGTTAGTACAGAAATTGAGAGCTGGTGTTGAGAAACTTTGATTGCAATTTGACAGAGTAGTTTTATGTCTGTTGAATCTAATAATAAATAGGGATGTGTATTTTATGTTTTTTCAATTGTCTAATTTATCTTTTTCTGAATTAGCTTTTCTCCTCTAGTAATTTGCTTTCCATTTTACTTTATAAAACTATAGGTACACAATGGATTGGAAATTTTAAAAATTGGTCTTTCACTACTGATAGTTAGAGAAGCACTACTCTAGGAAATAATCTAAACTTGCCTATTGTACTGAAGAAAGTCATTCTTCCAGTTCTGGAAGCTCTTTAAGGACTCTCACATTTGTGGAAACTCTTTAGTCTGAGCCTTTGTTCCTAAGAACAGACCAAACTAATAGTTTAAAACAATTCTGGAATCTTTATTTCTTATAATATTTAAGCTTTTGTGAATACAAGGAAGAATTTTGAAAAATTTTCTCAAATGTTGAAAAATAGACAAATATCAAGGAAGGTGAGGCAATTTAAAAAATCCACCTTGCTAAATAAACATACATCTTTATGAGGTAGTTCAGTATGTCTTGATACAGAGGCCTAAGATATATTAGGCAAAAAACAAAACAAACAAAAAAACTAAGTTGTAAAACTGTACTTGTAATATGCTGGACTTTTAAAAAGTTGCTATATGCATAAAAAAAATCCAAACAAATATACAGTAAATTAACTATCATATCTGAGAGTTAGTCTAATGGGCACGATTATGTTTTTGTTATGTACTATTTTGGTTTTGCATTTAAAATGTTTACCATGAGTATATGGTATTTTGTAATAAAAAAGAGGAAACTTACATGTTGAATAATGTACTCTTGTCACTTTTTGGCTTTTAATAAATAATGTAGTTTAATTGGTTTAACACCAATGTGGTTGAGAAATGTTTTTCAAAAGAGACGAAGAAATCCATGCAATAGGATTGCTGAGCTTCCATTTCTTTCTTCCTTTTTTTTTCCCCTCTTGAGACAACGTCTGGCTCTATTGCCCAGGCTGGAATGCCGTGACACGATTCTGGCTCGCTGCAACCTCCACCTCTTAGGCTCAAGCCATCCTCACATCTCAGTCTCCCAAGTAGCTGAGATTATAGGCACACATCACTACAACTGGCTAATATTTGTATTTTCATAGAGATGGGGTTTCACCATGTTGCCCAGGCTGGTCTTGAACTCTTGAGCTCAAGCAATCCTCCCACCTCGGCTTCCCAAAGTGCTGGGATTACAGGTGTGAGCCACCATGCCTGGCACTGAGCTTCCATTTCTATACCATCTTTTCCTCTTTGGGAGCCAAATGATACTTGCCCTTTCAAGGCATACTTGCAATTGTAATCATACCATTTCTGGAACAGAAAAATGTTATTTTATGCAAGATACATGTATGGAAATATTAAGGTCTCCCTATATTTCATTTCCACTCCCTTCTCTGCATTATGTAGGATTAAAGGATGTCAGAGAACTAATTTCTTGAATTTAGAAGACCTGTTTGCCAGTCTGTGAAATGAGTATAAATTACCTGCTACAAATAAACAACATTCCCAAGATGAAAAAACCTAAAAATTCTCATCAGTCATCCTCAGTGAGACAAACTACTGTATTTCATCAATTCTAAGGCAACTTTATTGTAAGACACAGCATTATTTTTAATGTACTATTAAGAAAAAACTGCCAATTCAAGTAGAATATGCCATCAATCAAAAGATGAACCCTGTTTTCAAATGTAAATATTTAAAAATGTACAACCTAGAATAAAATATGGTAATACTATAACTAAAAATCCGAAATCTTGCCCAGTATGATTACTCGAAGTAGAACACTGCAACCTGCTTCACATGAAGCCCTGACATAAATGGAAGAATACATAAACATTTTCAGTAGCACACCTTTCGTTTATTGACCTATGTAAAAAAATAATAGGTCTTGAAAAGTCAGAACAATAAAAGAATATGCAAAAGGGTTATTTCTGTTTCTAGAAGGCTATACAAATATGCAAAAAAGGAATAAGTTATTTTTTTGCTTGTTTTTCCAAACATTTTCCCTCAACTTCATTTCTAATTATACAAATGACTAAGGACCAGTTTAACAAATCATTTTTATGTATATATTACATGCTTTGGAATATAGATAGAAAATGTTCCAAAAAGTTGTTCAGAAACTTTTCTATTCACAATATGAACAAGAAACTTGTATAAAAGAGGGAGGAAAGGAGCACCTTTTATGGAATTTTGAAACGAAGATGACAAAAAAGATCAAACTGGAATATGGAAATAATTTGCTTTAAAAAACAAACAAACAAAACCCTACAATAAACCATAGCTAATTAGTTCTTCCCAGGAAAGTATGAGGTAGTTTTAGCCTCATAATGAAATCCACTGCAGCTTGGAGTTTTTTGTCGTTGTCGCTGTTGTTGTTTTTTAACGTTAACCTTGTTTTTGTCACTTGGTGACTTGGAACTACTTGTGGAATTCAGACTTGTTTAATTTTCTAATGTTCACCATTTTAAGGCACGCAATTCATCTAAAATGATGTGGCTTTTTTTTTTCTGTTGTTTTGGATGCCTTCTGTATCATCTTAAAATACTTTTTCAAACTGATAATTATAAAAACTTTCCATATTAAGTCTGCCACTTCAAATGACAGCCGAGTTGGAGAATTACCAGCCAGAACAATAGCTCATCATGCAATTAGTGGAGAAAGGAAAAAGGAGCTCAATGATATTGTACCTTAAAACATTCTCCAAGCAGACTTTGTCAATTATTCAGTGGGCTGCTTCATTTTCCCCAATCTGCTACCATAAGTCATATTACAGGATGCTATGGTAATAAGTTTTTCCAGAACCCATTTTATGGTACTTATGAAAAACACCGCTCTTTATAATATCCTAAAAAACATTTACACTCATTCAGAACTTCATGAAAATCCAGCTTCAAGTAATTTTCCAATACTGTCTAAATTGTCCATGTCTGTGTAGAAAGAGCATGTTATTCTTTGTCAGCTCGCGAATTCAAATTCTGTGAGGTGAGCAGTGACTCCGGAGCTTCTGGTTCCCCTTTTCTCATCCTGCTGAATTGTGCTCTGAGATTTCCCCTGTCTTTATTGCCATGGGACATCCTGAACGCCCTTTCATGGTTTTGAGGTTTGCCTTTAACATCTTTTATTCCCTTAAAAAGTGCTTGCTATTGATGAAGGCTTCACACTGAGTCCTCTCTTGGCAGTACTTCAACACGTGGGCAGACCCTGCAGTTAGGTTAGTGCCTAGAGTTTGAAAGGCCAAATCCTCCTTCAGGGGCTTTGTGGGGCTTCGTGTGTGATTCACTGATTCACTTCCAGGGCAACTAAGTCTTCTCTTCAACCTTTGATGTCTTTAGGTTTCTAAAACGAACATCCTCTCGGAAGACGAATACGATTTGCAAGGCACACTAGTGTGAGAACGCAGTGCTTGGTCAAGAGGTCCAACTGCAGTTCAGACTAATGTTCCAGGCTTTGAATCTTCATGCCAAAAGAGTCTCTGCTCACTACTCTCCAGGTTGTCTTCCAGCCGGTTTCCATCTGTACCATCCAGTTGACTGATTTCTGTGTATTGTCTATTAAAGAAAACCAGAAAAGTTACTACTTGTGGCCATATTTTTGTCCCCACAGCACAAAGACTACTACATTTAAAGAAGTTAGTAGGAAGCACTATTAAGAAAAATTTCCCAAAATGTAGAGATAAGGCAAAGGAGAAGGATGACTGCATGTTCTTTCAATGTCAAACCGGAGCATTGTTTAACAGGCCCATAAAAAGGATTACTTAATTCTCTGGAAAGACATACCTTTGTTTAACTTGTATTTACCATTGATCAGGACCCAGATTGTATTAAGTTACATGTTAACTTGTAGATTTTTGTCTCAAAGCAATACAAATAACTTGTCTAGTAAAAAAGATTATGGTTACAGTTTTATTGCCCTATAGGATATTAACTGGTTTTGTATCTCATTTGGTAGTCTTTTCCAACATTCTCTCTTTCAGTGTCTTGAATTCTCTTTGAACCAGCTTTATCATTCTGCTAGTTCACTTATCAATGAGTTCAATAAATCTTTGGCCCATGCCCATTTTTATTTGTGTGACAGTTATATTTTTAACGTTTTAAAAATTATATTGTGACAATCACATTTTAAGTATTCTTCAAATTAAGGGAATATGCTAGATGCTTTCCTCAGGGACAAAATAATACATTCAGAAGGTGGCAGGGGCACGTAGGGAAATACATGATATCCCTAGGGCTTATGGGTCAGGCATAATTGGAAGTGATCCAGGAAACAGCATCACATTAAAAAATCATAGGCATATTTAGATGGCAATTCCAAGTGAGAGCATCCTATCATACAAACCATTCTGATAAGCAAAACTGCATTATTGTCACGGTAGGTTAAGAGAGATTAGATGGTTAGTTGATTTCTTTTATATTTTACATTCCAAAGTATTTTAGTAAAGGTGATTTTTTTTTTAAAGTCTTTGGAAGAAGAGCTTTGGAAATAAAGGTTTTTAGTGTTTTCATGTAACATAAAAAACAAAGGCAGATTTCATAATTTCACACATCAGTCAGTGCAAGCAAAACTCCTGCTATGCAAGAAGCAACACACAGATTAAAGGTACTGTACTTACTACAGCTGGCTACACTTAGCAAAAGAGAATTTACAACTGATCTCATTTCTGGAGACACAACCATTCTTGGGGATAGAAGCCCTTGGTTTTGCCTAGTAATAGAGTTAGATAGGAAAGGAGAAAAGGAATGGAAAATAGGAGGTGAAAGAAAAAAAGTTATTTGGAAATACAGTTTGCAGCAGTAGAGCCAAGAATTTCACTGTATTATGTACTAGGTAGCTTCAACATTTCTACTTTGGAAAGTTTATGCTAATGACAATTATGCCAACTGTACTAGAAAAAAAATTTATTGGTAAAAATTAGTACCTTTCTATAATTTTAAGACCTGGATACTCTAGGGCAAAGGATCTTTAAATAATATACACTTTATTTTAAAAAACAACAAAACACTAATATATCGCTATGCATTTCAAATCTTTGGCTTAAGGGAAAAATCTAGTTTTTCATTTTTATCTTAAAACCTAATTCCCTCTTATTTTAAAAATCATGTTTTCATAAAAACAATGTACAGAATTTTAGAGCAAATTTCTAAAGCTTTATGAATGATTGTTACTATCCTTGCCTTGTTAATAGGTTTGGTTAAATTGATCAGACTATATCCTAAAAAGAACCCTAAATAAACAAATGGATGGGAATAAGCACTTCCGTATCTCTGTGGCCATAAGAGCAAAGTGGCAAATCTTTCTGGAAAGCAAGAGCTTTAAAAAATACACTTTTCAATTTAATCCACTAACTCTAGTTATTGGAATGTATCCTATGAAAATAATCTGGGATTCAGACACATATTTTGGACAAAGATGTTAACAGCTGCAATACTGGGCTGGGCGCCATGGTTCACTCCTGTAATCCTAGCACTTTGGGAGGCCAAGGCGGGCAGATCACGAGGTCAGGAGTTTGAGACCAGCCTGGCCAACATGGCAAAACCCCGTCTCTATTAAAAATACAAAAATTAGCCAGACATGGTGGTACGTGCCTGTAATCTCAGCTACTTGGGAGGCTCAGGCAGTAGAATCACTTGAACCTGGGTGGCAGAGGTTGCAGTGAGCTGAGATCACACCACTGCACTCCAACCCGGGCAACACAACAAGGCTCCATCTTGGGAAAGAAAAAAAGTAAAAATGGCTGCCGTACTTTAATAAGAAAAAGAAAAATCTAAAAGCCTCTCAAAAAAAAAACTTCAAAAAATGAGGAGCTGCTAAGTAAATTAGGGTTCATTTGAGGGGAATATCATCTTAGTCATATAAAATAAGGTTTAAAGAGTTTTAAAACACATGGGAACATGGTTATGTTATGATGTTAAGTTTTTTAAAACACGGAGATGTAGGATTTCATGTACAACATAAGATATAAAACTGTATGTACAATATCATTCCATGTTATGTGGACAGAGAAAAATGGGGAAAATATGCCAAAATGTTAAGAGCTGCTATCTCTGGATAGTGGAATTATGGCTAACTTATTTCCTACTTATTTATCTCTTTATTATAAAATTTCCACCATGAGCTCATATATGCATACGCATACACAAACAAACAATAGGGATTTTTAAATAGCTTCTAATTTCCTGTATGTTATGCCCCCTGTGATCCCCTATCAAGCCATCTTGGGCTGTCTGATACATATGAGCAGACTTTGTAAAAACAGATTTTCTCTAAAAATGCTTAACACTCCCTGAGTCCAATGACAGTAGTGTTAAGGATATTAGAACTGCGTAATGCACCAAAAACTGTATTATCATTTCTGAGTCAACAAAAAGACAAGTAAAATTACACAAACATGAAAATAATTTGCAAATATATTATTAAAAAATGGTTAGAACTAAACTGAAAAGGTTCGGTTCAAATTTTAGACCAGTCATGTTGGTTCTTGCTCCTAACTCATTTTCAAACATTATTTACAGAAGTCCAAGTTATGTGACATCTTCTGAAGTATATTTTCATTACAATTCTATTTTGAGTATACCCTTTGTTTAGCTGAGACAATTGGCTTAATATTTCAAGCCAAGAAAAACTCCCACTGAATGTGGAGAAAAAAAAAAAATAAGGCATTTGGGCCTGAATATTTCCAATTTGCTTGTAACAGTGAGTGCCTTGATAAGAAACTGCTAAATTCTCAAATTTACCAGCATAGAAACCTTTATAAGTTGTAGCCTGTATAAGTCTTCTGTGCCTGAAGCAATATGACTTAAAGGAATCAAAATTACACATTCTAAAAAAACAGAAAATGTCCTACTTCTTGGTACCATGGGTGTGGATTATCTTTTGTGGGAAAGTAAAAGGGACAAATGACCTCTTCAAACTTAATTCCTATGGATAACAAGATTTTTTTAAAAAGTAATTCAGAGTCTGCAATTAAAAAAAAATCAGTTTTAACAAATTGCTGTTGTACATTTCCTCTAATGTTTACAAAGAACTACTTTTACAGACAAACAGGACAGCTGGCTGTGTCTGTTGCTTCATAACAAACATAGGATCAGATAAAAAGGCAGCAAATGTTTGAAATCCAGCCTACCAACTGTCTAAGGAACCTTGGTACGAACAGCCTTTCCTGGAGTAGAGAGATTATTCCTGCAAGGTTTCAAAAGAGACTTAAATGGACTTATCACTAATAGGATTTCAAGTACCATAATTTTTTTAAAAAGCTTCAGACTCAGAATTCAATGTACAGACTAAAGAACAGAACGCGTTAGATGAGGGGTTAGCAAACTTTTTCTTAAAGGCCAGATATTTTTGGCTTTGGTGTCTGTGCAAGTAGTTCTTTGTAAACATTAGAGGAAATATACAAGAATTCAATGTAATACTGAAGAACAGGGTCAAATTTGAATGAGTTAGATTAGGGGTTAGCAAACTTTTTCTTAAAGGCCAGACACTTTTTGGCTGTGGTGGCCAGATATTTTGGGCTTTGGTGCAGCTACTGAGCTCTGCCCTCATAGTGCAAAAACAGCCATAGAGAACGTGTAAGTGAATGAGTGTGGCTATTCTCCAATGAAACGTTATTTACCAAAACAGGTGGCAGCTGGATTTGGCCCACAGGCCATAGTTTGCCAACCCCTGAACTAGATTATCTGACGTTTGTAAATTAGGATCCTTGAATTCTTTTGAACTGGAACAGGCTCCTAGGATTTTCAAGCACCGCCTCCTCACCTGCTTGGAGAGGGTAAAGGATTATAGACATTGCCATAGCAGCTGGTGTAAGAAGAATGTGCTGGAGTCTCATAATCCGACAGCCCTATGGTTAACTGGGTCCTCCAGTTCCCAGAAGCATTTGTAGAAGACACTGGAAATAAAAATGGAAAAAGATAAAATTAATGGAGATATTAAAAGTGAAAAATTGTTAAGGTCATTCAGATGAACACTGCAATCAGCTTTGTCAGAGCAGAGATTTAAGAGGGTTTGAAGTAACAGAGTTCCTATTCCAATTTAGTGAATTCCTGGCTATGTGACCTTAGGCAAGTAGTTTATCCTCTTTAAGCCTCAGTTTCCTCATGTATAGAGTAGGGATAATAATATTAATATATTCTGTATGGGTATGATACCAGGATTAAAGTAATTATGAAAATCTTTAGCACTATACTTGATACAGAGTAAGCACTCAATAAATGATAATTATTAATATTATTGAGAATAAGATTAATTGAAAGATAAATTTGTCAATTCAAAAAATAATTTAGGTTGGGGTCAGGCGCAGTGGCTCAAGCCTGTAATCCCAGCACCTTGGCAGGCCGAGGCGGGAGGACTACTTGAAGCTAAGAGTTCGAGACCAGTCTGGCCAATATGGTGAAACCCTGTCTCTACCAAAAAATACAAAAATTAGCCGGGCATGGTGGTGCATGGCTATAATCCCAGTGACTTAGGAGACTGAGACAGGAGAATTGCTTGAGCCCAGGAAGTGGAAATTGCAGTGAACCAAGATCACGCCACTGTACCCCAGCCTTGGTGACAGAGTGAGACTCTGTCTCAAAATAAATAAATAAATAAAAATAATAAAAATCATTTTAGGTCAGGCTCAGTGGCAAAAGCCTGTAATCCCAACACTTTGGGAAGTCAAGGTGGGAGGATCGCTTGAGCCCCTGAGTTCAAGGCCAGCCTCAGCAACATGGCAAAACCCCATCTCTGCGAAAAATACAAAAATTAGCCTGGCGTGGTGGTGCACACCTGTAGTCCCAGCTACTTGGGAAGCTGACACGGGAGATCACTCAAGCCTGGGAAGTCAAGGCTACAGTGAGCCATGTTTGCACCACTGCACTCCAGCCTGGGCCACCAAGCGAGATCCTATCCCCAAAAAGAAAATAACAATAATACATAAATAATTTTTAAAATAACTGGAAAGACAAGCAAGAAAACAATTCTCATATATTGCGAGAATCTTCCCATTCATGCTATGGTGTTATAAAGGTGAGATGATGATTCTGGGTTTGTCAGAGGCCTTGGAGGAAATGTGTTCCATAAGTTGACGTATTGAGACTTGACTATTCTTCAGCCAAAGATAACACTGGCCACTAGCAAGATCAAGGCTATTTTTTGTCTTAAAAAAGTGTGTGTATGGGGCGTGGGGTCGGGTAGGCGAGGTGGTAACTAGCACAGGAAGGAATTCAGGAAGAAGGGATTTAGTTCTACAGAAGAACTGAACTGGAACAAGACAAGGGCATAATTTGGGAGCAAAGCCCAACAAATGCCTCATTACTGGGTGTTTGTTGTCCTCTCTATAAAACCAGTTCTGCTCCATGCCTAGGATGGACAAGGTAACCACAACGCCATGATGCTCGTCCAAGACTCAGAAACCAGCACTGCTCTTTTCCATCTCTTTTCCTTTTCCTGTTTCTGGCTTCAGACCTACTCCTCTTCTCTCTCATCCCCACAAAGTGCCTGTGATCACTATAGGACAAACACATTTCAAAACTCATCTGTGGCCCTGCATGTCATGAGGTTTTGACTAACTGATGTAACACTCTCAGTTTGAGCTTCCAAGCCATTTCTGAACTGTAAATCAGAGGCTCTGAGCCTTAGTGGTTAAGATGTCAGAGCTAGGGGGCTGGGTGTGATGGCTCACGGTTGTAATCCCAGCACTTTGGGATGCGGAGGTGGAAAGATCACTTGCGGCTAGGGGTTGGAGACCAGCCTGGGAAACAGAGCCCAGTCTCTACAAAAAAAATAAAATCAGCCAGGCATGGTGGTGCGTACTTGTAGTCCTAGCTACTTGGGAGGCTGAGGCAGGAGGATCTTGAGCCAGGGAGTTTGAGACTGAGTGAGTTATAATGGTGTCACTGCACTCCAACGTGGTTGACAGACTGAGACTCTGCCTCTTTAAAAAAGAAAAGAAAAAAAAAAAAAAAAAGCTGAGCTAGGATAGATCCCCACCCCACCACTTAGTAGCTTCTGGACTTGGGTTATTTAAACTCTGTAGCCAGAGTTGCCTAAGCTGCAAAATTAGGATAGTAACAATAAGCATAACAATAGCAATCACTATATAGAACTGTTGCATACATTAAATAGGAGACTGCACATAATGTGCTGAATGTGCATGGCATCTAGTAAGCTGCCAACAAATAGTAGTTGTCATTACTAAAACTGAGTCCACCGAGAGAGCCTTCAGGTGGCTGGAAGGGACTACAAACCTAGGACTAATCTAGCAAATAACTGGAAATTTATCTCTCCATGAGAATGATGCCTGCCTGTTGTAATACATTTCTGCAGTTATAAAGTGGAGACAGAAATGAGGGGAAATCCAGAAGGGATTTCTGGGAGTACTGATTCCATCCCTGTAGTTCTTTAAAGAGTGATGCCTTTTGGTCTGTGGGGCCACATCTTGCTACTGTCAGCAAAGCTCACACCAGGTCTGAAACAGGAAGCTTCACTTCCATCTCACCTTTACTAAGCTAACAGTCAGGAATGTTGAGGTTCCTCAGTTACACCTGCTTCCCCTGGGTGCCACCCCAGTCCCGTGCTGCAGTGACCATCCACACGCATCTCAGCCCTCCTTGCTTGGTTTTTCCCTTGTAGTACTCTGCCCATCCTGCCCAGGTTTGACCTATGAAACTTTCTCACATCTTGAACTTTAAGAGGAAGAAAGGTGTTTTCTAGGTCAGAGCCATAAATAAGAAATAATTACAGAAGCCCTTTCATATGTTAGATGTGGTAATAGATGGGACATCCCTAGTAGAAGTCCAAAGTCCTGCACAAATAGGAGAAAACTTGAACCCAAATAGAAATCTCCATGGAAACGCCTCTTGTCAACAAGTATATGGAACTTTTTTTTACAGGTGTAGTTTTCAATGCAATGACTATTATGCAATGACTCAGGAATCCTTATACTATGTCTCACTAAGGTGTCATGCTAATAAGGGAGAAGGCGAGACTCGTGACCTATAGGTTTTCTGGCAGTTTGAGAATTTCTCGGAGTTTTAAATCATTTCTCAGAGTTTTAAAATTGCTTAATTTTTAAACATTCTTCTGGCTGCTGACTCTGAGTTCATCGTGACCAGGAACTAGTTCAACACTGGGTCCTCCACATTTTGAATGTGCCTGCTCATTTGCTGAATAAATAAAACCATACACAGAGCCTCCCCTATCTTCTATTTCTCTACTTAAAGTACCTAGCACAACTGGGAGTAGGCAGGAAGTCCTCCACAAATGTTAGCAGAGTTAGGGGCCAAAGTCAATATCAAGGGTAAAAAGGAAACATCTCTAATCAAAATTATCTTTGAAAATCCCTTAAGTCAACCATAACATAGGTATATATGAATAGTGAATTACAATGTGCGTGGCCAGGTACTGTGGCTCTTGCATGTAATCCCAATACTTTGGGAGGCCAAGGCAGGAGGGTTGCTTGAGGCCAGGAGTTTGAGACCAGACTGGGCAACATAGCGAGACCCGACCTAAGCCCTGTTTCTACCAAAAAAAAAAAAAAAAAAAAAGCAAATTACTTAGAACAGGGCTTAATCAATGCCAGGTCCTATCAGGATTCTCATGAGCCTTATGCAGGCACCTGAGCATTCAAAACAGTCCTTAGATGATTGAATCTTGGTGGTGAACAACGATGGATGTATAATTCTAATGTTTTCTGCTTACCTGAGGGTTTATTCTTTAAAAATATCAAACCTCAGTGACGTGAACACATTTAAGAGATGTGCCTGTCAATGTAAATCCTAAAAAGATAAAGCAAGTGAAACCCCTAACACATTCCAGCCCGGGCAACAGAGCGAGACTCTGTCTCAAAAAAAAAAAAAAACCAACAACAACAAAAAACCTAACACAGGGCAGCACAGAGAGCAAGTGCTCAATCAATATTTGCTGGATTTGAATCTACAGTTTGCTTCATTAGACTCGTGTACCGAGTTCTTTGGAGAGCTGGAAAGAACTGTTTTTAAGTTGGAAATTCTTATTGTGGGGTTCTACCACCGAATGGTTGCCACTCTTTTGACCTTGGGTACTGGTCTCATGATCCGTGAAGCGGTTCTGGGTGGGCAGGAAACATGATGTAAATAAAATCCAGGTGTCGTGTGTTTTTACAGTATTCTCACCTGAAGAGTAGGAGGATGCACGACTGCTTGGAGAACAAGGTACCTGCAGCCCCGCAAACCCCAGGCATCTCTGTGATCCCCTGTCTGAGTCAAAGCTGGTCTGCAGGCTGTGCCCCTGATCCTTCTGCCCAGTGGCCCGCTGGTACCAGCCACGCAAGTGCTCGGCGACTAAGGCCTTGTGGATGTTTTTGGTGATGTGCTCCGATTTTGCGGCAGCCTTTCTTGGCAGCCGGAGAGTTGCATATGGGTTATGGGGTACCCGGTCAACCTCATCTTCGTGAAAGGATCTGCTGTAGTCCCTCTGGCGCTCATATCCATAGTGGGCTGAGGACCGGTAGGAAGGGTTGACACTATACTGTCCCTCGGTGTCATTCTCATAGACATAACTACCACTGTAATAAAAGTCACACTCTGCATAGGGCGTGTACCCGGCAATGTAGTAACTGGAAGACGGTGGCTCCTGACTCTTTGAGTAGACACCATTCCTCAAACTATCCTTTTGTGCTAGGTTGGGCATGCTTCCTGAATTTGAAGTAGAAACACTCTGTTTCTTTGACCTCCTCCGACCCCTGGTGCGAGTGTCCAGGGTCTGGGTGGTGTAATAGGGGCCTGTAACTGGTGTCACACAGTAATACTCCGTGCTTGATTGGCTTGTATAAGAAGACCCGTCATCGAGGATTTCTGTGCTGCTGCTTCTTTGGGATTTGGAGAGGGAGAAAAATGGCTTATCGCTGTCCATCTCGGAGAGCAGGTGGGACTGGGACTCCAGGCTTCCACTCCGCTGGCGGCAGTGCTGAGAGGAAGATTCAGGTCTGAAAGAGGAGAAGGCAAATTTGTCAACACCAAGAAGAAAAGGAGGACCCAAATAGGAAAAAAGAATACCATGCTGAAAGACTGAACAGCTCGTGAATCGCAATAGGACTTTGAAGGTTGCCAAAGCTGACGGCACAACAGAACCCATTTGTTCACCAAATCTATTGGCTCACACGTAAATTCATTACCATAGTCAAAATGAGAAAACAACCAGGTTCTGTTAGTTCCACAAGCGAAATCCTTCCTTAAGGGTAGGGAAAGACATAGACTGAGGATGCACAGTTTGCATCAGAGCCTGGAAAAAACAAAAACAAAACCAAAAAAAAACCCAACGTGTCTTTGGAGGGTCCTGTCTTCCTAGAGGATAGGAAGACATGGTACATTCAAGTGCAGGTCAGGGGTGTCTGGGCTGAGTCATGGCACTGCTATTTCCCAGCTGTATGAGCTCAGTCCAGATATTTAACCTCTCTGAATCTTGCTTACTGTTTTGTAAGATGATGATGAAAACAATATCTAATATCTACCTCACAAAAGGCTTGCTGTAGGGACTAAATAATCCAGTGCATATAAAACATTTAGCACAGCACTCACAAACATTTCCAAATGGTGCTATTGTTACTAACTTCATCCTCACCATTGAATAATGAATGGTAATATGTGACTGGGGAAATTAAGGTACTAAAAATCTAATGTATATTTGAACAAGTCAAATACATTTTCTTTGCCAACATATTTGAAACCATAAGTTAGCAGAAAATGTAAAACCATAAAACAAGGTCCTGCTATAGAAAGTCACTTGAAATGATTAAAAAACACAACAAAGCAAGACAGAACCTCAAAGCAAAAATCAACACAGCTAAAGCAATGAGAATGAAGCTCTCTTACTCCAAGTGGCTGCTGCTGTAGGCGTTTCGGGTAAGAACTGGCGTGGTGGGCATGCTTCGTCCGCCCTGGGGCCGCCTCTCCAGAGTTTTGTAGGGGCTGCTGTGTGTCGACAGCATTTCTCTGTGATGAGAAAAAGAATTCAGGAAATGATGAGTCTCTCAACATCTCTGGCAAACTTGTCATAAGCAGATAGGAAACTTACTAGAAGCCCAAGGAAAGGGAAAATAGGGAGAAAGATAGGAAGGGCGTCTTTGTGGTTCACTAAACCACCAGGGCACTTCCTGGTCTGTTCTAGATGAGTTTTAGGGGAAGCATATATGGTCTGACTTTCTGAGTCACAAATATGTAGGGAAAGAAAGGACTTTTAATAAAGAGTACACTGAATAAAAAGACTCAAAGCAACTAGAGCTGTTTATGTAGGCACTTGAACATTCAAAACAGTCCTTAGATGATCAAATCTTGGTGGTGAACAGGGATGGATGTATAATGCAGTTCACTCCTTTTTTGTAAACAGTCTAGAATACTAAATAGTTATTGGCTTTGTGGGCCAGATGGTGTCTATAGCGACTACTCAACTCTGCCATTGCAGTGCAAAAGCAGCCATGGATAATATGTAAGAGAATGGGTGTGGCCGTGTTCCAAGAAAATGACCTATGGATGCTAAATTTCATATCATTTTTACATGTCATAAAATATTGCTTTTGATCCCCCCACCACCAGCTACCTAAAAATATAAAAACCATTATTAGCTCATGGGCTACACAAAAACAGCAGGACGGATTTGGCCACTGGGCTGTTGTTTGCTGGTCCCTGGACTAAGAGCAACATCCTTAAATCACTATGTCTACTTCCCAGCACAGTGACAACACAATTTGAAGTTATTTTTTTCTTTTTTCTTTTTTTTTGAGATGGAGTCTCGCTCTATCCCCCAGGTTGGAGTGCAGTGGCGCGATCTCAGCTCACCGCAAGCTCTGCCCCCTGGGTTCATGCCATTCTCCTGCCTCAGCCTCCTGAGTAGCTGGGACTATAGGCACCTGCCACCACACTTGGCTAATTTTTTTTGTATTTTTAGTTAAGACAGGGATTCACCATGTTAGCCAGGATGGAAGTTAATTTTTTTTAACTAAAAGTAATTTTGATCAAATTTTACTTACTACAAAAGCAAGTCTAAGTTCATTGGAGAAAACTTTAAAAATACAGATAAAAAGAAAAATTTAAATGTCTATAATCTTTTTTTAGATGGAGTCTCACTCTGTCACCCAGACCTGAGGAGAGTGGCGTGATCTTGGCTCACTGCAACCTCCAGCTCCTGGGTTCAAGTGATCCTCCCACCTCAGCCTCCCAAGTAGCTGGAATTACAGGTGTGCACCACCATGCCTGGCTAATCTTTTGTTTGTTTGTTTTTGTATTTTTAGTAGAGACGGGGTTTCACCATGTTGGCCAGGCTGTTTTCGAACTCCTGACCTCAAGTAATCTGCACCGCTCAGCCTCCCAAAGTGCTGGGATTACAGGCGCTCTGAGCCACCGCCTATATAATCTGATACCTTATATATAGCCAGTCAACACTAACTGTTTACAGATTATTTTTCCTAAGCACATAAACTTATAAGCATGTATCTATATATAAACATATGTATTTATTTTTTAACAAGAAAACATGAGATTTACTATATATTCTTTTTCAACACTCATTTTTTAAAAAGTTAAGTTGTATCTAACATTTTATGTTGCTTAATATTTGTCTACAGTGTTATTTTAATGACTGCATAGCATTTTATTGTATGGATTTACCATAATTATGTACTTTGTTTTCAATTTGCCATTAGTGTAAGCAAGGTTATAATGAGCATCCTACATGTAGTTAGTTGATTCGGTAGTAAAATTCCTAAATGAAATTGCTGGATCAAAGAGCAAGTCCATCGTAAGTGACTGGAGATGTGGGTACAATAATTTTTAAGACAATGATTCCCAGCTATAATTCTTCCTTTTGCTGAAATAGCTTTGTTTTCCCTAACATAAGAAGCTCACTTGTCTCATGTTATCCAACAGGACTTTCTGCAGTGATGAAAATGTTCTGTGTCTGTTCTGACCAATATGATATCCACTAGCCACATGTGGTTGCTGAGCATTTGAATTGTGGCTAGCATGACTGAGGAACCAAATTTTAAATTTTATTTACTTTTAATTAAACTGGCTAGCACAGCTGTAGCTCCTTGGATCTCTTACCATTTCAGGCAAAAGTTCCTAAATGCGAATCCACAAACTGGGCTGATATGTGATAAAGTTTTCACTGGCCTTTAACAAATTAGAAATACAACAATGTGGCCAGGTGCAGTGGCTCACACCTGTAATCACAGCACTTTGGGAGGCCGACGTGGGCGGATCACGAGGTCAGGAGATCAAGACCATCCTGGCTAATACAGTGAAACATCGTCTCTACTAAAAATACAAAAAAATCAGCCGGGCATGGTGGCGGGTGCCTGTAGTCCCAGCTACTCGGGAGCCAGAGGCGGGAGAATGGCATGAACCTGGGAGGCGGAGCTTGCAGTGAGCTGAGATCGCACCACTGCATTCCAGCCTGGGTGGCTGAGTGAGACTCCATCTCAAAAAATAAAAAAAAACATAAAATAAAATAAATAAAATAAAATAAAATAGAAATATAACAATGTGTAGGTTATATTTTCATAAGTCACAATTTATCCAACTTGAATAATCTAATAATCTACCTTGATTTTGAGAATAATTTCCTTTATTTAAATTTTTTTTATTTTTATTTTTGGCCCTTGTAGAGCAAATACTTCCCATCTTTGCTGAGATGCGGTATAACATATTCAGTGAAATCAGATCGCAAGCTTTGGATCCTGCCAAGTTCTAGGCTACCGAGGTTCAAACCTTGATTCCCATGTTTACTAGCTGATGAACCCAAAGAAGTTATTCATGGTCGCTGGCCCTCAGTGTGCTTATCTGTAAAGGGTAATGACAGTAGTAACACTATCAGGGTTGTCATGAAGTTTAAATTCATTAATAAATTACCTAGGAAAAACATAAACAGTATCTGGGACACAGTAAGTACTCAATAGTGGCCAGGCGCAGTGACTTATGCCTGTAATCCTAGCACTTTGCAAGGCCGAAGTGGGCGGATCACCTGAGGTCAGGAGTTCAAGACCATCCTGGCCAACATGATGAAACTCTATCTCTACTAAAAATACAAAAATTAGCCAGGTGTGGTGGCGGGCGTCTGAGTCCCAGCTACTTGGGAGGCTGAGGGGGGAGAATCGTTTGAACCCGAAAGGCAAAGGTTGCAGTGAGCCAAGATGGCGCCACTGCACTCCAGCCTGGGCGACAGAGCGAGACTCTGTCTTGGGGGGAAAAAAAAAAAGTAAGTGCTCAATAGAAATGTTATATGAAGTTAATATAACATGAAATTAACATTACATTAAGTGAAATGTTAACTTTATTTGATTAGTATTACTACAACAATGATAGTTAATATATTTTTGATATAAAAATGTCATTTATTTCGTGGATTCATGGTGCTATTTGTTTGAATGTTTCTTGTTTTCTTTTTCTTTTCTTTTCCTTTTTTTTTTTCTGAGACAGCATCTTGCTCTGTTGCCCAGGCTGGGGTGCAGTGACACGATCATAGTTCACTTCAATCGTGAAATCCTGGGCTCAAGCAATCCTCCTGCCTCAGTCTCCCAAGTAGCTAGGACTAGGTATGCAACACCACATCTGGCTAATTGAAAAAAAAATTTTTGGGCTGGGCACAGTGGCTCATGCCTGTAATCCCAGCACTTTGGGAGACTGAGGTGGTTGGATCACCTGGGGTCAGGAGTTCAAGACCAGCCTGGCCAACATGGTGAGACCCTGTCTCTACTAAAAATATAAAAATTAGCCAGGTGTGGTGGCACGTGCCTGTAATCCCAGTTACTTGGGAGGCTGAGGTGGAAGAATTGCTTGAACCCACGAGGCAGAGGTTGCAGTGAGCTGAGATTACACCACTGCACTCCAGCCTGAGTGACACAAAGAGACTCTGTCTATAAAATTTTTAGAGATGGGGCTTCATTAGGTTGCCCAGACTGGTAGTCTCCAACTCTTGAGCTCAAGTGATCCTCCCAAAGTGCTGGGATTATAGGTATGAGCTGCCACACTCAACCTGTTGGAAAATTTCTTTTTAGGCAAAGCAAACAGCTGGTAACTGTTTGTTTTTTAAGGATTGACCCATACAGCCAAATTCTGGGAACCACTGGCCTGTCATGTTTCTAAAACCTGGTCTCACTGCCCTGATAATGTTTACCTGAGATATCTGGGAAAATGCGTGGATTATGTATTTTACAGATTATGAGTTTAAGTTCCATGTGTATTTGCAGGACTGGAAATCAGTCCTGCTACTTGGTTTGGCAGAGTGGACTTAATTTCCTTAGACCAGTGACTATGAAACTGAACTGTGGACAGTATGTCCAAATCCAGATGATAATTAATGTCCCTATAAGTTAATATAGATCAAATAGACTTTAAAGTCAAGGAAATGGTCAAATGCATTTTAAAAGACTTATTAAAAACATTTTCATTTGCTGTGAACAACAAATAACTGGGTCAGTTTCTATGCCCCAGTTTTATAAGATAACATCTTTTGGAAGGATAAATAAAAACATGTAAAAATGTATCAACCATACATTGCATTTTGGAGGAAAAATTTCCTAGCTGTGAGGCATTAACCTTACTGACGATATGACCTCTCACCTGGACTGCCTGGTATCCACAAACTGTTCATTGATGGACGACTTTCTGAAATGTATTCGCTCAATACCAAGAGACTTGGGGGGAAGAATTCTTGGAGAATGAGGTACTGAACTTGATCGCTGCCCAGCAAGAGTGAAGGCGTCACTGGCTATAATAAGTAAATGGGTGAATGAAAAAATAAGTAGGCCAATTAATAGGTAAATAAATATCTTGCCAACATCTCAAAAAAGAAATTGGAAGATTTAGTGAATAAAATGTTCTTCCAAAGATGATATTTTTAGAAGATCATAACTTTCAAGAAGTTAATTTTTATATTTTATACACCAGAAAAAATGAAATTACTGAACACTCTTCTGGGACCTGAACCATCTTTTGCCAAATTCAACAGGTGTCACTCTGAGTGAGTAAAGCACTCAAGGGGAATGGGTAATACCGCAGCTTTTAAAAAGCTATGTTAAAGAAAACTTCCAGTGTGAACCAAGGGGAAGTTGGCCTGGATCATTTTTGTTCACCTTTACTTTTAAAGTTTTTAGGCCTCTTTGGCCAAAGGCTTATCCTGTCATTGAAAGTAAGGAAACTGACTTACGCTGCATCATTAGAGGCTTGTTATGTTTCCCACTGATATTTACATTTTCAAAGAGGGGTGGCAAGCATGACCAAACATCAGCTCACAGGAAGAATTCTGCAGTGGTGAAATTTTATGCACCATAAAACTTGGGGAAGATAAAGCGGTGTGGGGGTGGTTTCCTGGAATTCAAGTCATACCACAGAGATAGCCAACTCAATCATGATTAAGTACAAGAGATGACAAAGAAATACTCTATTAGTTGATAGTAAACCCATTCTATAATGAAATGTATTAAATGGCTGGACACGGTGGCTCATGCCTGTAATCCCAGCACTTTGGGAGGCTGAGGCAGGCGGATCACCTGAGGTCAGGAGTTCGAGACTAGCCTGACCAACATGGTGAAACCCCATCTCTACTAAAAATGCAAAAATTAGCCGGGCGTGGTGGCTAATGCCTGTAATCCCAGCTACTAGGGAGGCTGAGGCAGGAGAATTGCTTGAACCTGGGAGGCGGAGGTTGCAGTGAGCTGAGGTCGCGCCATTGCACCACTCCAGCCTAGGCAACAAGAGCGAAACTCCGTCTCAAAAAAAAAAAAAAAAAAAAAAAAAAAGAAAGAAAAGAAAAGAAATATATTGAACAAATATAGGCCATTACGATCAATGCAGCCTGCCCCTATGAAACAACAAAATGACAGGTAGCCCAATGTCTAACTGTGCCTTTCTTCCTAAGTAAAATAAACTTTCCTTTATCTAGAATATGAAAGTTTATTTCATATTGTAAAACATACAATGATTTTATTTCATATTGTGATGAACACAGTGATAAAGTGTACAATCTAATATCCTGGTTTTTATATGGGACTCCAGATACATAAGATGTCACCATTGGGAAAAGCTGGGTGAAGGAGTCTTTCTATTAATCATGCAGCTCTCCATGAGTCTATGATTACTTCAAAATAAAAAGTTAAGAAACACTTTAGAGAGCCTTAAAGTCCTTACTGAGAGACTTAGATACTCCTGTGAGGGCATTCTGATTTCCTGAGGTCATGTGATTTTTGTGGTCCTGTTATTAATACTGAGTTAACCTGAGTAGGTGTTAATCATACACTTCCTTTCCCAACCATTTTGCACAAATGTAAGTTAGTTTATTCTACTTCTTCTCAAAAGAAAAACAAATAGGCCTTACTTAACTAAGAGCATTATCTTAATTATTTCAGAATATCTCACATCGTTAAACCAAAAAAGGAAGAGCCACTTACGATCATCAAAGGTGGTGGTGTCAGACAAAGAGCTACTCTCTGAGGGGATTATGTCTTCTGTGAATAAAAATAACTGCCTTTAGTGCAATTGTGCATTTATACAATTAGAGGGGGCTGAGAGAAACAATTTTCAGTGGAGTGCATTTTATTTTCATTTCAATAAATGTAATTAATTACAGTACATTAAGAATAATTAACTACCGTAGCAAGAATGGACTCATATACTAATAAAAATCAAAACATTTTACATATGGTACAAATATTACATTAGATTATTTCTTAAAATGGAACAGACTTCAAGGGAGTGCTGGTTTTAAACTAGTTTTCAGTGTTTCTTCTACACCGGAAGAAAACTTTACCTACATATTTAGTGCTTACGACCAACAAACTGGAAAGAAAAATCATGCCATTCTTATCATAAATGCTAAATGTTAAATAAAACACATCTGAATCCTCATTTGAGAATCTACTCTTAATATAACTTGGCTTTCGACCCCTCCCTGAAAGAAAGGGCTTTTTTTTTTTTTTTTTCTTGTTTGTTTTTAGGACAGGGTCTCATTCTGTTGCCCAGACTAGAGTGCAATGGTGCGATCATGGCTCACTGCAGCCTCAACCTCTTGCGCTTAAGCAATCCTCCCACCTCAGCCTTCTGAGTAGCTGAAATTACAGGTACACAGCACCACGCTTGGCTAATTTTTTGGATTTTTAGTAAAGATAGGGTATCACCTTTTGTCCAGGCTGGTCTTGAACTTCTGGGCTCAAGCGATCTGCCTGCCTAGGCCTCCGAAAGTACTGGGATTAAAGGTGTGAATCACTATGACTGGCCAAGCTTTTCAACAGGTTTCTCAACAGTGGCACTACTGACATTTTGAACTGGATAATCCTCTGTCCTGGGGAACTGTCCTGTGCATTATAGGATTTCCAGCCTCCCTGGTTGAGAACCACTGAATTAGGTTTAAGTCTTGGTTTTGCCATTTATCGACTATGAGACTTTGGGCAAATTAATCTGTATCACCTGGCTCAACCCCACAATGGGGATAACAGCAGTATCTATCACGTAGTGCTGGGGTGAGGCGTTAGAATAACAGATGTAAAGCCCCTAGCCCAGCTCCCAGCATTACATGACAAATGCTCAGTAAATGTTAGCTAGACTTAAATCTTTAGTTACCTAGACACTGCGTTCTGGTTGGCAATGGCCATAACACTCTGACTATTGCTGGTATCCATCAACTGTTAAAGAACATGGCCAGGCATGGTAGCTCATGCCTGTAATCTCAGCACTTCGAGAGGCCGAGGTTGGCAGATGACTGGAGGTCAGGAATTTGAGACCAGCCTGGCCAACACAGTGAAACACTGTCTCTACTAAAAATACAAAAATTAGCCAAGCATGGTGGTGCATGCCTGTAACCCCAGCTATTTGGGAGGCTGAGGCAGAAGAACTGCTTGAACCTGGGAGGCAGAGGTTGCAGTGAGCCAAGATCATGCCACTGCACTCCAACCTGGGCAGCAGATAGAGCTCTGTCTCAAAACAAAACAAAACAAAACAAAAAACAATAATAAAAAAAAAATACCCACAAACATATTCAGTAAAGATAAGTATCTCACATGCATTGTTCTACATTTGCAAATCATTCCATATTCAATTGAGTGCTTTGGCACAAAGTTCTAGGCAAATATAATCCTTCAATGTAAAATTCAAAACCATTATGAAGGGAAGCTCTCCAATCAATCTCTAATGTTAAGCTGCATCAGAGACAAGTGAACTCTCTCTATTAGACACACAGTGGAGCTTGAAGGCAAGGTGCCAGTATAGTCGGCTGTCAGGCATACTTTCACTGTAAAGGAGAACATTTGAATTTTGCACAGTTTGAGGATGAATGGGCCATAGCAAATGGTCATGAAGTTAAGCACAATGCTAATAACCCATATCTGTAGGTCCAGAAATTAACGATCCCCAAGGCCACCTGGATTTCACGTTCAGTCAAAGCTACTCTACATTCTCCAGCTGTAGTGGACTAACACTTGTGTGTTGATGCTGTGCATTCCCTTTCCAAAGGCAACGTCTGCTTTGTAAATCATTTGCTCTACACCCAAGTATATTCTAAACTCACTTACCTTATTTCATCAAATCTAAGATATATATTTTAAATACCAGTAAAAAATAAATTAATTGAAAAAGTACTGCCAAGTATGATTGTAACACACCATCTAGTGTGTTAAGAACTATCCCAAGGCTGGGCGTGGTGGCTCACACCTGCAATCCCAGCACTTTGGGAGGCTGAGGCGGGAGGATTGCTTGAGCTCAGGAGTTTGAGACCCGCCTGGGCAACACAGTGAATCCCCATGTCTACAAAACATTAGCCGGGCATGGTGGTGTGTGCCTATAGTCCCAGCTACTAGGGAGGCTGAGGTAGGAGGATCACCTGAGCCCAGGAAGTCGAGGCTACAGTGAGGTTTGATGGTAGCACTGCACTCCAGCTTGGGCCACAGAGAGAGATTCTGTCTCAAAAACAAAAACGAAAGCAAACAAACAAAAAAACCAAAACTATCCCAATTTCCTAGATGTTAAGATGTAAAGGAAAAAAACTCTCAGAATCAAAAAAATACAATCATATTTCAATCACCAGGCTGAAAACCATGCCAATAAACATGTAAGGTCAATTGGACTTTAAATCTACCTGGGATTTCTCAGTTTACTTTTTTTTCTGAAAATGAAAGTCATAAATACATAATGTTGAGAACTTGGAAAATACAGAAGAATATTAAGAAGAAAATTAAGTTACTTGAAATTTCACAACTATTAGTACTTTGAAATAGTTCTTGGCCAGTCTTTGTGTGTGCATATTTCTATAAAATTGAGATCATGTTGTGGTAACAATTTTATATCAGGCTTTTCTGCATTTCATGTTATATCATGACCATTTGCCTATATCTTTATTTTTTAATTTTGTTTACTTTTTTTTTTTTTTAAGACAGGGTCTTGCCCTGTCACCCATGCTGGAGTGCAGTGGTGCAATCATAGCTCATTGCAGCCTTAACTGCCTGGGCTCAAATGATCCTCCCATTTCAGCCTCCCCAGTGGCTGGGACTACAGGTGTGTACCACCATGCCTGGCTAATTTTTAAAATATTTTTTGAAGAGATGGGGTTTCACCATGCTTCCCAGAGTGGTCTCAAAATCCTTAGCTCAAGTGATCTGCTCACCTCAGCCTCTCAAAGTGCTGGGATTATAGGTGTGGAGCGCTGTGCCCATTCTGCCCATATCTTTAAATAGCCTTCATAAATTACAGAAATTTTCAATCAAGTTTACATACTTATAAAACTGAAATTCCAAACAATTTTTATCCTAAGAAACTTAGTTTTGTCAGGCACAGTGGCTCATGCCTGTAATCCCAGCACTTTGGGAGGCCAAGGAGGGTGGATCACCTGAGATCAGGAGTTTGAGACCAGCCTGATCAAGATGGAGAAACCCTGTCTCTACCGAAAATACAAAATTAGGTGGGTGTGGTGGCGCATGCCTGTTAACCCCAGCTACTTGGGAGGCTGAGGCAGGACAATCACTTGAACCCGGGAAGTGGAGGTTGCAGTGAGCCAATATTGCCCCATTGCACTCCAGCATGGGCAACAAGAGTGAAAGTCTGTCTACAAATAAACAAGAAAACTTAGTTTTGATCATCTGGTTCTTCTTCCTATCTCTCACCAAATTAACTGGTAACTGGTTTGGACATGCTAGGTACCATTAAGTATTAAGTAGGGGACTCAAAAAAAACCTTACTTATTACTAACCTGGTAACACTGCTGCTTTCTGGCTGGGTTTCTTTCCACACCTAATTCGGTATTCGTTTATTGCATTTTCAATCTCCTGAAGCTTTTTCACTGCATCTGTGTAATCTTGCTTTCGCTTTTTCTTCACAGTTTTACAAAGGTCTGGCTCATTGGCAAGTTTCTTTGCAGCTTCCACCAGCTTTTGTTGTATTAGAAAATTACTCTCCAGTTCTTGCAAAGCAGGATCCTGCATTTATACAATGATAGTTTTATTTTTACGGACACATATGACCAACTCTTACATGCATTGTGTAATAAAACTTGCTGTGCACTTTCTTGAATCAGCTGTTCTTTGAGAACACTATCTTCCCAAATTTTACTGCATAGACATCCTTGTCAAACACTTTCCTTTACCCTTCTTAACTTGAACTTCTCATTAGTCCAAACCTCTTCCCTTTTCAAGGAAGGGAATGGCCTTTCATTCATTCAGTTGGTTGGGAGAAGATCACAGTTTTTATGGATATATTCTTAACTCAAAGCTCATGGATGCAGAAGGTTATATTCATATGCATAGTTTTAGAGAAAGATAAATTTGGGGTTGATCTTCTTCCTGGTAATTCCTGGTTGCATGACCCTGGATACACAGCTTCATCTTTTAATGCTTCAGTTTTTTTCATCTGAAAAATGAAGATAACACCTACCTTATGAAAGTAGGATGAGGATTAAATGAGATAATATATGTGCATTGCTTAGCTCAGAGATGGGTACACAGTAAGCACTCAATAAATAGCAAAGATTTCCAAAGAAGAAAACAGATAATTTTCTAAAGCTAAGATGGTCAAATTTCTACAAGAAACATAGGTATGGTCATATTGGCTGATGACATGCAAATGAGAAAGTATTATACATTCTATATTGGCTAACAAATATTTTAACTTGATTGTAACTCAGTGCTGTGCATGTATTATCTCATTTAATACTCACTGGATCCCCTGGAGGGAAGTCCAATCATTACCCCCATTTTACAGATGAGGAAAACTGAGGCCTGAGAATTGAGACTTTAGAGAGGCTAAACTATTTGCCAAAGGCTATTATTTAGTTTTAAGTAAACGAACCTAATGCTGGAGTTCTTAATTCTTATAATACTGCCTTCTCAATTGAGAAACATCTGGAGTTCACTGAATGCTGTCTATGATTTGGGGAGTAAAGTAGTGAGAACTCAATTTTGACTGGAGTGGGCATGAAAGAAAGAGTTCAGTTTGGTCTACACGATCCATCTCTGCTGGTGAGATAACATACAGCAGAGACTCAAAAACCAAAGGAAAAAGTCCACTACAGTCAGACAGCTTTCCTGTCTCAGGATTAATTGAAAGGCTCAGAGGCGTTGATCATACCTCTTCACTCGGTAGCAAGTTGTCATCTAATTTGAAGGCAGTACCCACACGTCTTCTGACCTGAGGAGGCTTCTCGCCTACGTTCAGGGGATACTCCTTTGGCATTTTGCCTGTGAGCTCCTGTAAAACAGGACAGAATCAAGAGCGGATAATTGACACTGGCCAAAGTTGTCAAACACAATTCGATGAGCCCAAAAAAGCAGACTCACAGCCTCCCGCAGACAGATCTTCTTAAGCTCCTCAACTTTTTTCAGAAGTTTTTCTTGTAATAGTTTCTCCTTCTTCTTTAGTTCAAGGATTTTTTCTCTCTTTTGCTCCTCACTAACTTCTGAGTCTTGAGAACCTAGGGAATGAGGGAAGGGCAGGGAAGGTTTATACAAGGGATGTTTCCTTCCTTTCTAAGGGACAAAGGATTTTAAGCTAAAGCTGCTATTAAATGGTAGTTTATTTCTTTTCTCCTTGTTTCTCAACATAATAAAAGGAAACTAGAAAACATTCTCTCATTCTTCTGGGTATCAAACAGAATCTGGTAAGAAAATGTGCCTTTTTGCATCCTGGCTCAGTCATTTTGGGGGTAATGATAAAATGTTTAATGTCCCAGACACACCCAAGGAAAACTTTCATTTTTCTGAGCAGAAGAGAAGGTAAGACGGTCCTTGAAGAGTTGTTTCGAGTGTTCTTTTAGAAAGTAAGCAAGCAAGGAAAAGAAAAATCTGTGTGAAGGAAGGTCATGCTTCAGATTCACAAGTTGACAGTGAGATTTAGATGGGACGAATCGTTTTAGTAAAGTTACATATAGTTAATGATAAGAGATTCCAGAATTTTTACAGAGGAAGGGCTTAGGGGAAGCTATCACATTTAAGGGGTATGCTTGTAATCATGTTTGCACAGCATTTTATATTGCATGGAGAATTAGACAATTATCTGTATCAAAAACTAAATGCTGGAAAAAGCAGCTGCTGGGGAATATGTTCTTTCAAGCCACACCAAGGTACTCACCATCCTTGTATCTCATATTACGTGCACAACCTATTTATAATTTGACTTTCTACATATTCTTTAAACACTTAGCCTTAAAATTTTATTCAAAGCTGTTGCATACATATTTATTGACATGCTTATTTATTTCCAAAAGAATGGATTAAAAGATGAATTTAGAAGTGGTTTATGATGGAAAAAACAAAATAAAGATGGCTTGCACATTCTCTAATCCCAAGATGTTACCTGAGGAGATTAAACTGCCATTGCTTGCCATGATGAACTGACTTTTCGCCTCCAGTGTCACCAGCTTGGAGGCCCTTTGTGTTCCTGTCTCTGTCAAATCCATTGCAATCTCGTCTAAACTCCTGGCTGAAGGAATTTTTGCCTAAGAGGTATACAACAATGAAACAGAATTAACTCAAACATACTTCAAATTAATAAAACAATTAAGTTAACATACAATAAAAATATCAACACAGAGGATAATTTAGAATTTTCACATATTCAAGTGGCATTCTTCAGACCAAAAAATAAAACAAAGCGAAAAGTCCACAAGCCTTAAGCTTTGTAGTTAAAATGTTTTAATAACTATACATGATTTTCTCATGGTGTGGTTCAGTTACTAACTTTAAAATGTCACCGGCACCATCACCACCAGCAGTGTCACCAGTATATACAAACATGCATGACAACAAGCTGGCCAGTCTTACAACTTATAAAGCAGCTTATATATTGCCCATCATTTAAACATATAAAAAATCTGAAATAGTTGGAAGTTAAACATAAAAAAATCTCAGAGAGCAAAAATATATGTGCTTGCATCTTTTGTGAGAAGGCTTATCTTCTAAACAGAATGCAAAACGGGAATCTGTCCCTATAGAAATGATGCCAGTTACTTACTTTGCTTTGTTTCCTGTCCAGGTAAAACTGATGCTGACTAATTGCCATTACCCAAATGGACTTGATGAGAGAAGAGTTAGCATACCATGTTTGCACAAAGAGGCCACTTTGCCCAAAGGTTCTTCTTGAAACTGAAATCCTGAAAGATTAAAGAAAGCACTCAAATAATTCCCCTCTGGCCCAGCATGATGCAAAATGTACCCTGAGAGCAGCATTGTAACAAGGCATGTTCCTCTTGTCTTCTGTTGCAAAAACTCTTATGGAAATGGCAACCAAGTTTCTGATTTTCTCCTTTTACAACAAAACGATTCAGACCTAAGTAATCTCTTTCTGGATAAACAGCATGTTTAAAAACACATACACGTGAACTTAAAAGCTGATAAAGAATCAGTCAAATTAGAGATTATACAAAAATTTTAGTTAGAAACTCTAAGGATGTATAGCCATCACAAGTGGTAAGGAATAAATGGGATAAGATTTATTTATTTATTTATTTATTTATTTATTTATTTATTTGAGACGGAGTCTCGCTCTGTCGCCCAGGCTGGAGTGCAGTGGCGTGATCTCGGCTCACTGCAAGCTCCGCCTCCCGGATTCACGCCATTCTCCTGCCTCAGCCTCCCGAGTAGTTGGGGCTACAGGTGCCCAACACCACGCCTGGCTAATTTTTTGTATTTTTAGTAGAGACGGGGTTTCACTGTGTTAGCCAGGATGGTCTTGATCTCCTGACCTTGTGATCCGCCCACCTTGGCCTCCCAAAGTGCTGAGATTACAGGTGTGAGCCACCGCGCCCAGCCGGGATAAGATTTTAAAGATGCAGCAACCAAGTGTGGGATGAGCACCTAATTCAAGGTAAAAGAGCATTTTAGATCTAGGTAGATTTGGCTGGCTCTGACATTATCAGATAATGCACTTAATGATAATGGCTGAAAATATGCAAGTCCAAAACTGTCCAGAGTGCTGCTTGTACACCAGATGGAAAGAGGAAAGGGGAAGGGGAAGAAGGAGGAGGAGGAGGAGGGAGAGGGGGAGAGGGAAAGGAGGGTAGAAGGAAGGGAGGGGGAGTGAAAGAGAGAGAGAAACAGAGAGAGGACAGGCAAGAGGCAGACAGACTGTGTGTGTATGATGCGTTACTAATGTTCTTTTGTAGGAATTTTGCTTATCTCTTCGGGTCACCTTTTTATCACAGGTATTTCCTCCCATCCCTCTGGCCTCTAACCATCCATAACCATCTTGGGACTGAAAAGTTCCCACTAAGGACTGATTAGTAATTTCTCTTAAGGCCAGGTGCCATGGTTCAGCACTTTGGGAGGCCAAGGCAGGTGGATCACCTGAGGTCAGGAGTTCGAGACCAGCCTGGTGAAAGCCTGTCTCTACTAAAAACACAAAAATTAGCTTGGTGTGGTGGTGCATGCCTGTACTCCCAGCTACTTGGGAGGCTGAGGCATGAACATCACTTGAACCTGGGAGGTGGAGGTTGCAATGAGTCAAGATTGCATGACTGCACTGCAGTCTGGGTGACAGAGTGAGACTCTGTCTTGGCAGGGGGGTGGGGGAGAAGAATTTCTCCTAAGATATTTGAGAACCAACATCCTGACTTCAGTTAATGTTGATTACCTTGGCTTTTTTTTCTTTTTCTTTTAATGACCAAGAACACCAACATTTTAAATGAGCAAAAGATCTGAATAGACATTTCTCTACTAAAGATACATGAATAGCTGAGAAGCACATGAAAAGGTGCTCAGCCATCATTAGTCACGAGGCAAATGCAAATCAAAACCACAAGAAGGTACCACTTCAACCCACTAGGATGGCATAAACTATACATGCACACAAAACTAAAAGTAACAAGTGTCAGTGAGGATGTGTCGGCATTGGAACCACATATACTGCTGCTTGGGATGCAAAATGGTGCAACACTTTGAAAAGCAGCCTTGCTGTTCATCAAAGGGTTAAAGATAGTTACCATTTGACCCAGCAATTCCACTCCTAGGTATATACCCAAGAGAAATGAAAACATATGTTCATATAAAAACGTGTACACAAATGTTGATAGCAGCATTATTTGTACAGTAACTGGGTCACACAGAGAAAAAGTCTTTGATCCTCACCTTCGTGGATCATGAACTTCAACAGCAAATTTTTTCTCACGGAAATATAAGTTCTCCAGCTGTTTCCATTGGAATAACTAAGGAAAACAGAAAAGCCAGGCAGGGTTATTTATTCTTATTTTTACTCAGTCTATAAATCAGCTTAATAATCAAACAATTATAAGTTCCAAGAAGGTACACTGATACGATGAAGTATGAATATGTGATTCAGCCTTTTTACAAATCAACTATGACCTGAAACCATTTTATTCCTTCTTCTGACAGCAATCTTTAACTATTAAGATTCACCTCGCCAATAAATCTTCCTTGAACAATAAAACCAACCATCTGTGGAAGAATATGCACACTATTTTTCCTCTGACTCAACTATATAATAAGGAAACCTGCACAGATTCCAGTAAGCACCAGCCTTATCAAAGACGTTGATTTCATAGTTAAATGGAAAGATATTCAAAGGGATATTTCAATAACATCAGAGACTGAATTTCAAAAGAATGCAAAGTGAAAGTAAAACGGAACCCCCATGCAGGGGTGATTCTCTGAGATACCAGTTTCCTACCTATGAAGAGAGTTCCCCTAAATGCCACGGAAACCTAGCACCAGTAACTGGGGGCAGAGAAGGGGTAGGAGGGAACACCAGAGCCTCTTCTTGGTTTCTGAGCTAGAACCTCCAGTTTTTGAACATAGCTCCCAATGTCTGCACACTCTGATATAGACACTACTGATATTCTATTGCTGTTGTCAGTTTGATTGGGAGAAACAAACTTTACTAGCAACGTGCATTTGAAAACCAAGTAATTTGATAGAAAGCGGCTCATTCACAGAATTGAGGACGCCTTGCTGTGTTTTCTGGGCTGCTTCCTAAGCTCTTTATAAGACACTGTACTATCCTGAGCCTTGGTTTGTCCTGTCAACTTAGACTTCATGGTCAAATTCCTCTTCTCTGCCCCCAGACTTGATTAGGGAAATAACAGCACAGAGGTTTCATTATATTATTAGACTTTGGCTGGATTTTAAAATTATGTTCAAAGAATCTTAAAAGATTATTTTTAATAGTCTAAATAATAAGCACTTCTCTGCAATGCACTATCAGCAAAACCATTTCCTGACATACAGGAACCCAGGCTTTTCACAGACATGTAAACCTCATCATGTAAAGGAACAAAATGAGCTGAAGGTTTCTATACATACACTGGCATGGGAAAAAAAGTGTTCAGACTGGACCCCCCAATTTCAAACAGTGAAATAAACCAGTACACCCTAAAAACAGCCCTCCGTGGTCCGCACACATAGCTGTCTATAACCACAACACTCACTCAGGTTCAAAGAGGAATTAATAAAAGTATAAAGCTACATACCCATTTCTTAAAATCTCCACAAACTTGAGGTTTTCATTTCTTTAAATCCAGAGGTTCCAAAAATGGGACAGAAATGTGAGGGAAAACCTCAGGGTTCTTCCAACCTCCCCCTCCCAGACGGCAGCTCCGGTGAGTTCTGAACTGAGTTTCATAAGACACTTAGGTGTAACTCAATTTCACAAACTGAGCCTCCCACGGCTGACACACTACTGACATCAGCACCTCTACCGAGTGACACCTCCCTAATTCTACTCTTTCCTCCCATCAGGGAGAGGAGGGCAAAGTTCTCAGTGGCAGATTTTCCCAGAAAAGAGAGCTTTCTAAAATGGGAGGCAGTTGGGATTTGCCCGATACTTCCTGGGAAGTAAGTTGCTTTGAATCCAAGGACGAATTTCACCGGAGGCTGTTTTAGAAAGACATTTCTACCCTAGTTTACTCACCCTGGACATGAACAGGTTCTACAGGAAGAGTTACAATGCAGCTCAGCTGTGTTTTCCTTTGTGTCCATTCCCACACACATAAAAACCAGGGCTGGACTTGAAACATGATCTCTGAAAGTCACCACCTCTCCCTCTTATCACTTACAAATGTGAAACCCTAGTGCTTTGGACTCCATTCAGCCAGTCCCTGCATTGAAAGCAAATATGCTCCCTGCAAGCAAAAACTCTACTTAAAAGGTGAAGGACTTCGGCTTAGAGAATTTGAAATAATTAGATTGTAACTGGATTTGCACAAGGTTATGGGAACTAGAGTGGGTTTTAAGTATGAAAGGCAGAGAGCAGTTCATTTCCCCGCCTGAAATCTTAAAAGTTTGTACAAAGTATGATTTCATATATGTGCATATAATAGTATAAATGTGGATTGGAGTGATACAAAATTCCGTGATTGCTTCTGTGGGCAGATGGTATGAAGGGTACGTTGTATAGAAACTTCAATATCACTAGTAATGTTTTCTTTTATTAATAAAAATAGGATGAAGTAAATATGACAAAATATTAGTAACATCTATTAAAGTGGTTGTACAGGTATTGTCATATTTTTAGGACTCTTGGAATTTCTCAAAATTAAAATAATAAAAGTTTATATATATAAAATGAATATAGGTTGGTCTATTTTATACAAGAGTGAGATTTTCACCATCTAATGAGTTGTAAGGTCCCTGTTTTAAACATTAAATATTATTACCATTTTAATTCTTTTCAATGTTTGAAGTTGCTAGGAAAATATTTCTCATTGTAGTGGTACTTGATCTAGCTGGCAGCTGGATATAAGCTGGCTTTTCTTTTGAAATTGCTGAAATCATTCTCCTATTGTGTTTTTTACTTCTGGACTCTTCATATCCAAGGGCCAGGATGCAGCTCTAAAAACGGCAATGGAGCTGAGGTGAATTCATTTGCTGAAAGATTGCTCATGCACCTTGCCTCAGACAGCACCTGGCACAGGGCAGGCAGTTGAATGGTGTTCATTCTCCTCCCTTTCTCCAGTGTTTATCTTAGAAGATAAATAAAAGGCACCCTCTGGTCAAAATCATGATAGGGGCCAGGCGCGGTGGTTTGGTCAGGTGCAGTAGCTCATGCCTATAATCCCAGCACTTTGGGAAGCCGAGGTGGCTGGATCACTTGAGGTCAGGAGTTCGGGACCAGCCTGACCAACATGGTGAAACCCCATGTCTACCAAAAATACAAAAACTAGCCGGCTATGGTGCGAGAGCCTATAATCCCAGTTATTTGAGAGGCTGAGGCAGGAGAATCACTTGAACCAGATAGGCGGAGGTTGCAGTGAGCTGAGATTGCACCATCGCACTTCAACCCGGGCAATGAGAGCAAAACCCCATCTCAACAACAAGAAAAAGGCATGAGGGGATTTCAGACTAACGATCTGTATTTGAGGAAAGAGATCAAAGTTTAAAGGAAGATACAAGGAAGCTAAGTATACTTCCCATTTTCTATTATTTGGACAATATTGGTGTCCATATAGGGTAGGACTATTACATATATGTATGTATGTGTATATATATAAAATATACGCATGTGTATGTACAAATACACTTGCAGTTTTCATATTAAAACAGAAAAATGTATTTTGCCCAAACCAAAATTTTCACTCTTGGAAATTTAAAAAAAAAAAAGAGGAGCTTTATTTGTCCTGCAATACAATTAAGAGTATGGAACTAGAATGTTTTCTATAGTGATCATTATATAAGCATAATAATCATTAATGAGTATTTATTATTGTCTATGTGGCACCTGCTAGTAGCTAAGAGTTTGAACACTATGTTGTTTGTAGATAAAATATATCGGCCGGGTGTGGTGGCTCAAGCCTGTAATCCCAGCACTTTGGGAGGCTGAGGCGGGCGGATCACGAGGTCAGGAGATCGAGACCATCCTGACTAACACGGTGAAACCCCGTCTCTACTAAAAATACAAGAAAATTAGCCGGGCGAGGCGGCGGGCGCCTGTAGTCCCAGCTACTCGGGAGGCTGAGGCAGGTGAATGGCGTGAACCGGGTGCGGGGGACGCAGGTGGAGCTTGCAGTGAGCCGAGATCGCGCCACTGTACTCCAGCCTGGGGCACAGAGCAAGACTCCGTCTCAAAAAAATATATATTTTATATATATATATATATGTGCTGCTAGTGATGAAAGGGAAGTAGTTGCAAGGTGAAAATAAAACTATAAATTAGGTCTTCTAGATTTCTTTCTGCTCTACGCTCATCTTGAATGATCACTTGTGCCCTCTGGTATCAAAAGAAGGAAGTAAAGAGTGACCGAAGAATAATATCTGGGATTACTTTGCAATTGCAAAAGTAAATAGACAGATAGATAAAATATTAAAAGAGGAGCAACATAAATAACATTAACAAAGAGATAATCAAGAAATTACAACAGGAGGAGAATTTATCTTAAGGTTACAAATCTTATCTTAAAAAAATAAAGTGTCAAAAATTTAAAACTGACACAGAAGATAGTGCTGGAATCAAGCCGTATTTTGAAACTGAGCTATATAAAATATCGTAATCACAAGAAATTCCCTTAATCCTAAGAGAAAGTGAAGAAAGTATTGATGGTTTTAGAATAATTTGCTGCAGATGATTACACTTTATTTAACGAAATGAATGTGCGGAATATTTAAGCCACTTTGTTGAAATCTATAATTGTTAGATTCCACTCAAAGAACTACAAGAAATCACCTCTGCCCTATCCCACCCCACTATTACAATGGTTCCTAAATATCTGAGGCTACTGTCAAACTTTAGCCAAAAAAAAAAAAATATATATATATATATATATACACACACACACATACACATATGCTATAAGGAAAAGCAGAGGGACCTTCAGGAGACATGGTACTTGTATTTCAGATATGTATTTCAGTAGCTTTGGGAGTCATTCCTTCCTTTTAATCAACAGATATTTCTTGAGTGCCGTGTATGTTTGAGGTCTTGTTCTTGTCAGCAAGTAATGGACAGAGCCCCTCTGTTGTGGAGCTCACAAGAACCAAATGAACCAAGTCAGATTGCCTTGGTTAGCATTCTGGTACTGCCACTTATCGCTGTGTGGTATTTGGCAAGCTGCTTAACTTTCCTGAATCTCAGTGTCTGCATCTGTAAAATGGGACCAACACCCACCTCAGAGAGTTGCCAGAAGGGGTCAGGGAAAGTATGTTTGTGAAGCACTTAGCCCAGTGCCTGGCTCAGAATCAAAATTCAGTAAGAGAT